TAATTGACATTGCTGGATTCCTTGTAAGACCAGGAATATTTTGAATATAAATGTCATATATTTTGCACAAAAGATAACATATTTACTCAGAGTAAACATTATATCTAAAATTTGTATGTCTAATGCAAAATCTATGATGTTTATATTCAAAATGATCATCAAATTGTAAATTATATTCTGGCCGGATAATTTGTATGAATTTTATGAGCTAAATAAAAAAATTATACTTCAATCGCGTAAAGGGGTACACCCACCGCGGAATGTGAGCATCCTGGGTTCTGGCAGGGCACCGTGTAAACGTGGAAATGCGGAATGTGGGACTGCGTAAAGTGATGGTTGACTGTACTTATCTGAATTTCTCTAAATATACTTGAGCTTTTGTCTATATTTAAGACATCTTCAGGTCATCAGACCCACTAATCTCTTGCACAAGAAAGGGTGACCTGATATACTATCAGAAGGTCAGTAATATGAGACCACTGATCCTCCACCTGAGAAAGGGTGACCTGACATTGCATCAGGTCAGGTCAGTTACACGAGACCCACTAATCCCCCACAGCTCCATGGGAGTGGAAAATACAAGTCTTTGCTGTAACACACCTGTATCATATGGAATTTTTTGTTTTTAAATATATTTATTTAATCAACCTTTTAACCCTTAGCCCCAGGTAACGTTCCAGAACATCCGCCTATTTTCCCATTTTTTTGTTGTTTTTTATATATACAGCTAGACCCCGACTTACGACGGGGTTAGGGACCCAAATCCAGGTTGTAAATCCGACATGGTAGTAAGTCCGATTTAGATAAAAAAAAATAAAAAAAAAACACATCTACAATGAAATACAATACACTAAACGTAATAAATAATGAGGAATGGATACAGTACAGTAAAATAAATAAATAATGTGGAATGGATACAGTGTGACAGAGCACTTACCTTAAATGTAGTCAGCTGAATGCACACATGCCCCCCATAATTTTCTATTTACAGGATACATGGAGACTATATTAATTGGAAGAAGCAGAAGAGGAGACAGGGCTGGGTGGGGCATCAATGTCGCTTTCTTCAGACAGGTTTATGTGCTGTGAAAACTTGCTGGTTGAAGGTATTGGTTCATCTTGAGGGAGTGAAGAGGCAGCACTGGTGGGGCGTGAGGAGACAGCACTGGGGGACTTCTTGAAATAGATGTCCAATTTAGACTGCACAGTTTGCTTTTTCTTTTCATTATAAATTTCTCTGTAGCAAGCAAGTGCATCTTGGATCATTCTGTCAACTTTGGCATAACGCTCATAATTTTGATCCATGACATCAAACATTTGCATTGCTTTATTAATTGTAGCAAATGCCTCTGCTATTTGTTTCACTGAAAACTTTTTGGGGGGTGCAGGTTCTTCTTCTACATTTTGTCTCTCTTCTTCCTCTGCAATTTTCTGTGCATCTAGTTCAATAAGATCCTCGTTACACTTTCAACCAACTGTCCAACATCTTCATTATCAATTTCTAACTCCAGCTGTTTACCTAACTCCACTATCTTGTTACTAATATTCGAAATAACTTCAATTCATTAAATCCTTTGAAACTGTGCATATATCTTTTCAGGATTTTCTTCCATATTCCATTCATGCAATGTTTTGTAACCTGATCCCATGCTGTACTAATGTTCTTTATACATGACAAAATGTTGTACTCCTTCCAAAACTGTCTGAGCGTTTTCTCACCTCAGTAGCAGCAACAGCCTGTGTGAAGGTCGTGCGTAAATAATACGCTTTAAAGGCAGCAATAGCTCCTTGATCCATGGGTTGGATGATAGAGGTAGTGTTAGGTGGAATGTACACTACCTTAACATCAGGGTGCATGTCGTCCAGGTGTGGTGGGTGTCCCGGATCATTATCCAAAATCAGTAAAATCTTGAATGGAATCTGTTGTTGCAGACAATACTTCTTGGCTCGTGGAATGAAACAAGTCATGAACCAATCCTCAAACAGTACTAGGGTCATCCAGGTTTTCTTGGTACTGCGATAAAACACTGGCAGTGTGTGCTTGCTGACATGTTTAAAAGCCCTGGGGTTCGCTGAATGATAGATCATGAAGGGCTTTAGCTTGAAACCAGCAACATTCCACCCCAACAGATGTGTAATTCTGTCCTTGAATGCCTTGAATCCTGGCATTGTTTTCGCCTCTTTGTGGATGTATGTCTGCTCAGGCATGCGCTTCCACAATAATCCAGTCTCATCCACATTGAATATTTGCTCAGGCAAATAATTCCCTTCCACAATCACATCATCTAACTCCTCCTTAAAAGCTTCGGCAGCACCAACATCGGCACTAGCTGCCTCTCCACTCACCTTAACATTGTGTAGACTGTAGCGTTTCTTAAATCTATCAAACCACCCATGACTTCCTGTAATGGTTTGATCACATTCATCTCCTGCCTACTCCTTCATGCCTTGGAACAGGCTTCTTGCTTTAGCCTGTATGGTTAGAACGCTTAAGGGTACATGCTTCTGTATCTGGTCTTCTATCCATATCACCAATAATTTTTCCATATCGTGAATAGGACCTTGTCTTCTCTTTGATATTATAGTTCCCTTTATAGGTGTTGTTCCTTTCACTACTTCACGAATACGTTCCTTGTCCTTCAGAATAGTGGATATGGTCGAGTGTGAGAAACCTAGGTCGCGTGAGATTGTTGCTACTGTTTTTCCATTCTCATACTGTGTTATTATCTTTATTTTCATCTCAAAAGTAATTGCCTGTCTCCTTTTCCTTGGAACACCACCAGCACTCTCACTTTTACGCTTTCCAGTCATTATAAAGTCAATTAAATACGATAATAACGAAAGTTCACAGCGCGATCAGTATAGGATACGATAGTCAAACACAAACAAAGCGCTCCACTGAGTGAGTGTAGCCACGAGGCGACCTGAGACGCTCCACCCTCTTCCCCGAGACGGAAACGTTTCGATATAGAAAATGCGCTCGTTATTTGAAAATATTTTTGGTCACGACGGTCGCAGTCGTATGTCCCGACGGACGTACGGTCAAAGCAGGTCGAAAGTACCAATGGAAGTAAGTCCATGTAGTCGTAAGTTGGGGTCTAGCTGTAAAAATATATTTTTTTAAAGTTGATTTTTGTTCTCTATTTATTCCCACGGGGAAGGGGAGGGGAGGGGGGGGGAGTTACTGCCAGCAGCACCCTAACCCGAGGCTTAAAGGTTAAATAAACTGTTTGCGATTATTATACTGTAATAAAGAAATGGAGTTTCCAAGTTAATGAGAACTGCATTTATGGACTACGGTAGTTTAGACTCAAGGAAAACATCCTTAGCACCAAGAAACGTTCTGGTGATGTGGGCTAGTGTCTGTCTGTGGAAGATGTCTAGTTTAGACACTCGGAAACTTTTCCCAGTGACCGGAAACGGTTCTGGGGATAAGGAATTTTAGCGAGTTAGAAAGTCGTCTGGTTACCTAGAAATCTCCCATCCCCGGAAGTGCTCTGTACTAATTGTTCCAGCTAATGGGGATATCGTTACTATAGTAATTATACATTATACAGCTAGACCCCGACTTACGACGGGGTTAGGGACCCAAATCCAGGTCGTAAGTCCGACAAAGATAAAAAAATAAAAAAAAATAAAAAAAAATAAAAAAAAAATCTACAATGACATACAGCACAGTCGTAAGTCGTAAGTCGGGGTCTAGCTGTACATCTTTATTATTTTATACTGATCTTATTAAATTATATTTTAAAACAATCTTACCTTTCAGTTGCTCTCAAGTTTGAACAAGTGAAATGTCATAAAATAAACTGATAAATACACTATAACACTGATATACAGTGAGTTCTGCTATAACGCGTGTTTTGACAACGCGAATTGGCTCTAACGCGTTTTATGAATAGAGGAATGATATTTGTATAACGCGAACGCTTGTTTGCTGTAACGCGATTTTTGCTTACAATTTCTCCAATTTTGTGGTATTAACTGTGAATATGGTAAAGAAGAATATCTCCAAGAAGCTTTCTGGTGATCGCATTCCCGGTGATGATCGTAAAAGAAAGGCTATAACCCTTGAAGAGAAGCTCGATGTTATCAACCTCAAAATCACCCTTCTCCCCCATCAAGTTATATTCATATTTTTTCAAGGTAAAGTGTTACATTTACTGTATGATTTCATTATTAGATATGAATGCAACATCTATTTAGACTGTGCTATCCTTTGTGTTAGGCTATTACTAAATTTTTTTCGATTTCGAGTAGTAATCTGCACCTAACCCTATTTTCTCCATAAGCCCTGTTATTTGGATTATGCGAATTTCTATAACATGACGTTTTACAAGTACACAGCTATCGTTATAGCAGAACTGACTGTAGACGCTTTTAAAGCATTTCACAACACTTTTCTTAACTTTTACATGTAACTCAGACATTTATCATATCCTCAGAAGGCCATTATGGCACATTTTACACATATGACATTACAAATTTGAATATTGTAAATACTGTGAATGCTTTGGAAACACATAAACACTTTAAAGACTAATATTACAACACAATTGAAGGCATAAGTGTGTGGGGTGGATGTCAAGATAAAATTTAAAGGGCTCACTCACCCAGCCTTCTAGCTTTACTGCCAGAACAGCACTGATATCTAATGTATGGCATGCTGTGGACTGTTGCGAAGTTACCAATTAGTGATAGATTACCAATAGAGAGGAGATCTACCAGAATTATGTGCCAAACTCTCGAATGTTAATCAGAATTGCACGATTTTTTTTTTGTCTTGAATGACACTAGGTTGTCAGAGCCAATTGGACGTGATTATCTTTGATGTCTGTATGCATCATGGTGTGATAGTGTTAATAATACTTTTACTTTATTTCTTATAACTGGAACTTGGAATAATGATGTAATGTTTATATTTTCTATGAGGTTAAATTAATTAATCTTCCTGTTTCATTGAAATACTGTATTGAAGTTTTGTGAAATTTGATTATTAGAGTATAGAGATGACCTGGCGTACAATGAGATGGGCCACAGCTAAACTGGATGACCTGAAGAACCAAGTTGAAGAAGTGCAGATGGCCCTTCATAAGTGTGCTAGTGCTCAGGAAACACAAGTGGGGTGTTCATTACAACAACGCTTAGAAGACCATATCACTAGCCTAGAAGTGACGGCAGCACTCAGACAGCCAGCAGTGCAAGCACGACACTGGCAACACCTTGTTAATGTTACAGGTTGGTTATGTTCATGTGATAGAGAACAGATAGATCTTTAATATATATATTATATATATATAATATATATATTATATATATATATAATATATATATATATATATATATATATATATATATATATATATATATATATATATATATATATATATATATATATATATATATATATATATATATATATATATATATATATGCAAGTAAATCACTGTAGGTGGCGTGATCTGTGTATATGATAACCACGGAAGAAGAAAACACGGTTCCAAGCGCTTGTAATTACATCTTCAGGGGTGTACAGCATATATATATATATATGTATACAGTTGTACCCCCTTAAGCGTGGGTCAATAAACCCAGAGGTGCGTGTTAAGAAACTACGTTAACTGAACAACAAACATATGGGATTAATTCCAATAGAAACGGCCCGAGCCCCAAACTCACTTTTTTGACAACACATAACTATGTTGTAGTAAAAAATAACATCTTAATTTTATGATGGTACATCATAATTAATACTTAAGAGAAATAGAGAAATACAGTCGCTAAGTTAATGTCCATTCAAATAATGGACTCAACTCCCTCCCCACCCACTGCCACCCCTCCCAGAGAATTTTTAGGGAAAACCACTAAATTTTAATAAATAATCCCTCAAACTAAAGTTAGGATAATATAATTGACATTGCTGGATTCCTTGTAAGACCAGGAATATTTTGAATACAAATGTCATATATTTTGCACAAAAGATAACATATTTACTCAGAGTAAACAAAGTACTTACATTAGATCTAAAATTTGTATGTCTAATGCAAAATGTATGATGTTTATATTCAAAATGATCATCAAATTGTAAGAAATCCAGCAATATAAATTATATTCTGGCTGGGTAATTTGTATGAATTTTATGAGCTAAAACAAATATCTTCAGTTAATAAAAAAAAAATATTCTTCACAACACTATCTGTCAATCAAAGTAGCCCACCTTGCCTCCCGCCCCTCTTCCAACCGCGCCAGATGGTCGGTGGTCCCAACCCTCCCCCCCACCCCCCACCCCCCACCTTCCTTCCCTACCAGAGAAATAGTGGGTGAAAAAACTAGATTTTAACTTTTAGTAATAAATAATACCTCTGACTAAAGTTAGGATAATATAATTGACATTGCTGGATTCCTTGCAAGATCAGGAATATTTTGAATATAAATGTCATATATTTTGCACAAAAGATAACATATTTACTCAGAGTAAACAAAATACTTTCATTAGATCTAAAATTTGTATGTCTAATGCAAAATATATGATGCTTATATTCAAAATGATCATCAAATTGTAAGAATTCCAGCAATGTAAATTATATTCTGGCCGGATAATTTGTATGAATTTTATGAGCTAAATAAAAAAATTATACTTCACCCGTGTAAAGGGGTACACCCACCGCGGAATGTGAGCATCCTGGGTTCTGGCAGGGCACCGCGTAAACGTGGAAACGCGGAATGTGGGACCGCGTAAAGTGAGGGTTGACTGTGTGTGTGTGTATGTATATATATATATATATATATATATATATATATATATATATATATATATATATATATATATATATATATATATATATATATATATATATATATATATATATATATTAGAATGTCGATTTAAAGCGATTCAATTTAAGATTATGGATTTAAAGTGACACCCACAATTAAGGACAATGTTTTAATTTAAAGCCAATCTTTCCTATTTTGCGCGAGTCAATCTGGCGCATCTATTTAAAATTTTGCACCTAATGTTTCTCTGGGCACGTGATACTGTCCTAAGGGCAAAGCTGTACTGTACATGTACTCAAAATTATGTACTAAATGATAACTAAAATCATTGTGTAGTGCAAACTACAGGCATCCCCCATGTTACGGAAGGGTTGCGTCCCTGGAAAATTGACCGTATCGCAAAATTCCGTAACGCGAAACCTATTTTCCCATTGACTTACATTATTAAACTGGAGATGCGTTCCTAAGGAATTTTTTTTGGCCCCAAAAAAGTAATTCAAGCACTTTTATTAATGAAAATAAACATTTATAAACACAAACAATACAGTACATTAAATAATTTATGATATACCTTCTTAAAATCACCAAGTTTAATATCCAATGTTATACCTTTGCGGCTTGTTTTTGCACTACTGCGGTCACTTCCACTTGATGGCCTCTTTCCAGTCATCTTGAATAAGGGTAATGCACTGTACTGTACTTACTGTATGTTTGTAAAAGTTAAATCCAACTGCTGAGGCGAGAAACATGCGCACACACTGGATGTAAACAATGGAGTGACTCTTGGCAGTAGCAAACACCAAGAAATCCACACCAAACAAATAATAATTTAAAAATTTTATTTTTTTTTATACAGTCGACCCTCGTTAATTCGGACCCCTTTAATCCGGATTTCGGATAATTCGGACGAAATCTGAAGTGTCCGTATCAAATTTCTGGTTCTGGGATTGTCCCAGTTGTAATTGGGGTTGCTATTTCAAATTCTGTGTCACTTCTAAGAATTAATGAAGTCTCTGGTGCACTCTAGGATTAAGAGAAAACGGACGACTCAGGCGTCCTGAAGTGAGAGAAAACGGACTCCTATGACGGGGCACTCAAATAAAGAGACATGGCTACATGTTTTGTGGACTACCCACTTTACGGTATCCTTTTCATCACTTTGTAATAAACCTAGCCATGCCTATGTGTGTTTCTGATAATTACCATAACATTATATACTATTTATATATTTAGCGGTTGTACAAACACAAGGCCTCACACATGCCACTCAGACTGGCAGACTTGACAAGTTTTACCAACCATAAAGACAGTTGAAGCCTTAAACATCACTCACAATGGATCTTGAATATTCCAACTGTGATCAGACATACCTAAGTTGCCTCAACAATTGCAACCCCAGTTGCAATATCAAATTCTGTGTCACTTCTAAGAAATTATGAAGTCTCTGTTGCACTCTAAGATTAAGAGAAAACGGACGACCCAAGTGTCCTGAAGTGAGAGAAAACGGACTCCTATGACGGGGCACTCAAATAAACATACACATAGCTGTATAATGCAATATTAACCCCTAAATCGGTTAATTCGGACAATCGGCTAAAACGGACACCCTTCCCTCCCTATTAGTCGAATTAACGAGGGTCGACTGTAGTGATTTTTTTTTTTTTATAATTTTTAAAATTTACCCCAATTTCCGTAAGGGCGGATTTACGGGCCGTATCATGAAATTATTGGTCGTAATTTACAAATTCCGTACGAGTGAAATTTCGCAACCCGGGGTTCCGTAACGCAGGGGATGCCAGTATAGCATGTTTATATTCAAGTTAATCACTATCTTATAAGAATTCCAGGAATGTAAATTATATTCTTCCCGATCACTTCTGTGACATTTTATAAGCAAAAAACAAAAAAATCAATCTAAAGGACGTAAATAAACAAATAAATACTTCACTAGACCTTCGCGCCAACTGTCAACATGTCACCTCCCTCCCTCCCTCCCATCTTCCCAGCCAGGGTTTGGTGTTTTAGGTTTAAAGTTTTGAGCTTAAATAATGTCACAGACTAAAGTTAAGAGAATATAATTTGTATTGCACGAGTCCTTGCAAGTGATAAATATTTTTGCTCTGTTATAAAATTCTTAAATTAGAACTAAAATTTGTATGTCTAATGCGAGCTAAAGCAGGTTTATATTCAAATTATTCACTATCTTATAAGGATTCCAGCAATGTTAATTATATTCTCCCATGTCAGTTCAGTGACATTTTTAAGAGAAAAAACTTAGTCACACTTTAGGACAGATAAATAAATAAGCACTAGACCTTGGCAACAACTGTCAAACATATCACCTCACCTACCTCCCCCACTTCCCCCCCCCCCACCCCATCTTCCCAGCCAGTAAACAGACCATTTCGCATCCCTTATGAAAAACAATGTTTTGTTTATTCTAGGAGATGGGCTGAGGTGCATCTGCGTAGACTCTCAGTCTTTTTAGTATTTTGTGTTTCTCTCAAGTACCAAACTAAATTATTCCATTGAAACAACACTTCGATTTAGTGCGAATTCGGTTTAAAGCGACCTCCTCTCTTGGAACGTATCTCGTGTTATGTCGACGTTCTACTGCAGGGGTGGGCAAAGTATGGCCCCCGGGCCTCATTTGGCCCGCCAAATTATTTATGTGGCCCGCCACTGCATTTGGCAATAGAAAAAAAAATCTTATTAATTACAGAAAGGACAATTTTGGAAGTTGGGTGGACATAGCAGCAATACTGGCTCGTCGCTGTTAACCTGTGGCACTCGAAGTGTGCCACCATTCATGAAGTGGCCCGCCATCAAAAATAATTGCCCACCCCTGTTCTACTGTATATATATATATATATATATATATATATATATATATATATATATATATATATATATATATATATATATATATATATATATATATATATATATATATATATATATATATATATATATATATATATATATATATATATATATATATATATATATATATATATATATATATATATATATGTAAGTATATATATATATATATGATATATATATATATATATATATTAGTAGATTTTGTTTATTCTTGTTTAACTCATTGCAGACATTTTTACATTATATATTGTATATTTTTTCTGATATTCTGCAGGCTGGAGAGTAAAAATAAACTTTACTTCCACTTGTCTTCATTGTTTCACTTATAATGCTGTGATCTCTCCATAAACAACTAAGTGACATGCTCTCTTGTCACATATGCACTGCTGTTTTATGGAGATCCCACACTTCTAGAATTTTTCGCCCCATCCTTTTATCTCCTCTTTGGTCGTCTGCTCCCCCTCTATCCACTTCTGAAGTACAGTTAACCCTCACTTTGCGCGGTCCCGCATTCCGCGTTTCCACGTTTACGCGGTGCCTTGCCAGAACCTCACGTGCTCACATTACGCGGTACG